AAACCCTCAAAGAAAAAAGTGACAAAATTGATTTTGACTAGGGTCGCCCCTAGTCCAAAATTGAAAATGTATTTCCTACTTGGTTCTTTGCTCAAAAAAATTTTAGGATGTTTTATTTGTATTTGTTTTAAGCACTAGAATACTTATGCAAAGTTTCAATCTATTTGGATAAACCCTCGAAGAAAAAAGTGACAAAATTGATTTTGACTAGGGTCGCCCCTAGTCCAAAATTAAAAATGTATTTCCTACTTGGTTCTTTGCTCAAAAAAATTTTAGAATGTTTTATTTGTATTTGTTTTAAGCACTAGAATATTTATGCAAAGTTTCAATCTATTTGGATAAACCCTCAAAGAAAAAAGTGACAAAATTGATTTTGACTAGGGTCGCCCCTAGTCCAAAATTGAAAATGTATTTCCTACTTGGTTCTTTGCTCAAAAAAATTTTAGTATATTTTATTTGTATTTGTTTTAAGCACTAGAAGTTTTACGCAAAGTTTCAATCTATTTGGATAAACCCTCGAAGAAAAAAGTGACAAAATTGATTTTGACTAGGGTCGCCCCTAGTCCAAAATTAAAAATGTATTTCCTACTTGGTTCTTTGCTCAAAAAAATTTTAGAATGTTTTATTTGTATTTGTTTTAAGCACTAGAATATTTATGCAAAGTTTCAATCTATTTGGATAAACCCTCAAAGAAAAAAGTGACAAAATTGATTTTGACTAGGGTCGCCCCTAGTCCAAAATTGAAAATGTATTTCCTACTTGGTTCTTTGCTCAAAAAAATTTTAGGATGTTTTATTTGTATTTGTTTTAAGCACTAGAATACTTATGCAAAGTTTCAATCTATTTGGATAAACCCTCGAAGAAAAAAGTGACAAAATTGATTTTGACTAGGGTCGCCCCTAGTCCAAAATTAAAAATGTATTTCCTACTTGGTTCTTTGCTCAAAAAAATTTTAGAATGTTTTATTTGTATTTGTTTTAAGCACTAGAATATTTATGCAAAGTTTCAATCTATTTGGATAAACCCTCAAAGAAAAAAGTGACAAAATTGATTTTGACTAGGGTCGCCCCTAGTCCAAAATTGAAAATGTATTTCCTACTTGGTTCTTTGCTCAAAAAAATTTTAGGATGTTTTATTTGTATTTGTTTTAAGCACTAGAATACTTATGCAAAGTTTCAATCTATTTGGATAAACCCTCGAAGAAAAAAGTGACAAAATTGATTTTGACTAGGGTCGCCCCTAGTCCAAAATTGAAAATGTATTTCCTACTTGGTTCTTTGCTCAAAAAAATTTTAGTATATTTTATTTGTATTTGTTTTAAGCACTAGAAGATTTACGCAAAGTTTCAATCCATTTGGATAAACCCTCGAAGAAAAACGTGACAAAATTGATTTTGACTAGGGTCGCCCCTAGTCCAAAATTGAAAATGTATTTCCTACTTGGTTCTTTGCTCAAAAAAAAATTAAGGATGTTTTATTTGTATTTGTTTTAAGCACTAGAATACTTATGCAAAGTTTCAATCCATTTGTATAAACTCTCGAAGAAAAGTGACAAAATTGATTTTGACTAGGGTCGCCCCTAGTCCAAAATTGAAAATGTATTTCCTACTTGGTTCTTTGCTCAAAAAAATTTTAGTATATTTTATTTGTATTTGTTTTAAGCACTAGAAGTTTTACGCAAAGTTTCAATCTATTTGGATAAACCCTCGAAGAAAAAAGTGACAAAATTGATTTTGACTAGGGTCGCCCCTAGTCCAAAATTAAAAATGTATTTCCTACTTGGTTCTTTGCTCAAAAATATTTTAGAATGTTTTATTTGTATTTGTTTTAAGCACTAGAATATTTATGCAAAGTTTCAATCTATTTGGATAAACCCTCAAAGAAAAAAGTGACAAAATTGATTTTGACTAGGGTCGCCCCTAGTCCAAAATTGAAAATGTATTTCCTACTTGGTTCTTTGCTCAAAAAAATTTTAGGATGTTTTATTTGTATTTGTTTTAAACACTAGAATATTTATGCAAAGTTTCAATCTATTTGGATAAACCCTCGAAGAAAAAAGTGACAAAATTGATTTTGACTAGGGTCGCCCCTAGTCCAAAATTGAAAATGTATTTCCTACTTGGTTCTTTGCTCAAAAAAATTTTAGTATATTTTATTTGTATTTGTTTTAAGCACTAGAAGATTTACGCAAAGTTTCAATCCATTTGGATAAACCCTCGAAGAAAAACGTGACAAAATTGATTTTGACTAGGGTTGCCCCTAGTCCAAAATTGAAAATGTATTTCCTACTTGGTTCTTTGCTCAAAAAAAAATTAAGGATGTTTTATTTGTATTTGTTTTAAGCACTAGAATACTTATGCAAAGTTTCAATCCATTTGTATAAACTCTCGAAGAAAAGTGACAAAATTGATTTTGACTAGGGTCGCCCCTAGTCCAAAATTGAAAATGTATTTCCTACTTGGTTCTTTGCTCAAAAAAATTTTAGTATATTTTATTTGTATTTGTTTTAAGCACTAGAAGTTTTACGCAAAGTTTCAATCTATTTGGATAAACCCTCGAAGAAAAAAGTGACAAAATTGATTTTGACTAGGGTCGCCCCTAGTCCAAAATTAAAAATGTATTTCCTACTTGGTTCTTTGCTCAAAAAAATTTTAGAATGTTTTATTTGTATTTGTTTTAAGCACTAGAATATTTATGCAAAGTTTCAATCTATTTGGATAAACCCTCAAAGAAAAAAGTGACAAAATTGATTTTGACTAGGGTCGCCCCTAGTCCAAAATTGAAAATGTATTTCCTACTTGGTTCTTTGCTCAAAAAAATTTTAGGATGTTTTATTTGTATTTGTTTTAAGCACTAGAATACTTATGCAAAGTTTCAATCTATTTGGATAAACCCTCGAAGAAAAAAGTGACAAAATTGATTTTGACTAGGGTCGCCCCTAGTCCAAAATTGAAAATGTATTTCCTACTTGGTTCTTTGCTCAAAAAAATTTTAGGATGTTTTATTTGTATTTGTTTTAAGCACTAGAATATTTATGCAAAGTTTCAATCTATTTGGATAAACCCTCGAAGAAAAAAGTGACAAAATTGATTTTGACTAGGGTCGCCCCTAGTCCAAAATTGAAAATGTATTTCCTACTTGGTTCTTTGCTCAAAAAAATTTTAGGATGTTTTATTTGTATTTGTTTTAAGCACTGGAATATTTGTGCAAAGTTTCAATCTATTTGGATAAACCCTCGAAGAAAAAAAAGACAAAATTGATTTTGACTAGGGTCGCCCCTAGTCCAAAATTGAAAATGTATTTCCTACTTGGTTCTTTGCTCAAAAAAATTTTAGGATGTTTTATTTGTATTTGTTTTAAACACTAGAATATTTATGCAAAGTTTTAATCCATTTGGATAAACCCTCAAAGAAAAAAAATTTCTGTATGTTTTATTTGAACTGATATAATTCTGACATAAATCACATACTAATATTACTTTTTGGAATAAATAGCTTAAAAAAATGGAAATCTTAAATTTCGACTACCCCATCTGAATTTTGTTCATACTCCTGACTGTGGAAACCAAAAAACAAATTCTTTATCTTAAAACACTTGACAAAATAGCGACATAATTTAGGATTAATTACTTTTTTAATAATATTTTAACATTTACGAGAAAACGTGGTTCAAATAAGTGTGAAGTATTGCCGAGATTTGGACCAAAATCAGCTATACTGGTTCATAGTGTTCCCGAGGGTGACAAAATTCAAACTAGGTGTTTTTGTTGCTGACATAATTATGACATAAATTAGGTATAACCTTTGAACTGTGTCGATATGGGTCTCGGCCGTACTTCACGCCCACTTTATTTTTTTGCAAAAAATTTATAAGCTCACGTGAGTACATTCAACGAGTGTACTCATAAGAATATTAAGAACATACTTATGTGAATATACTCGTATGAGTGCACTTATTGAACATTCTCATGAGAATATTAAAAACATACTCACATATGTGTGACATAAAATGTCGACTTGCATAAAAATGTATTCTAAGTTCGATTATAAGTTTGTTGACATTTTTTAAAAATGTCGAGTAATATAAAAATGTATTCGATGTTCAATTTTAAGTTGGTCGACATTTTTCATAATATGTTCTCACGATCGTGCTCTGATCAACTCAAATATTTCATAAAAATATAGTTCAATTAATCAGCGTATCAAACTTCAAAGAACTTAGTTTGCCTGTAATAATATAATAATTTAAGTATGTGTTTTGCCATAAAAAAATTATTATATATTTATAGAAAATGGTTCCAAGGAAAAGTGTGAGGTGACAGAAGTTAAGCAACGCAATAGGTTTTTCAACAAGGATGGGTGACGGGTTTTTAAAATTTCCTTCTTAAGTATTTGAGATAAAATGTTAATAACAATTTCTAACTCTTCCAAAATTATTCACAGAATTATCCTTATAAATATATCTTTTGAATATCTTCATGAATAAGCTCTTTGAGAATGTTCATAAGTTTATTCAATAAAAAATGTTGCATTAAAAAAATGTTTTGTGTGGTATGTTATCTTCTCATTTGAGTATACTTATAAGTTTACTCAGTGAGCTTAATGCATGTCACATAGGAATGTGCTCACTGAGCATACTCAAAAAGGTACCGTGATCGCATCACTTTAATGTATGAAATGAGCACATTCTCACAAAAGTTTGCAAGCTCACAAATAATGTGCTCTGAGTATACTCATTGGATGTTCGGCGTTATCGTCGAAATATTTGGAAATTGGACTAATAAGGAGATAGCGGAAAAATTTGAAAAACCTTCAAAGATTTTCCGGCAGAATTATAAATTAGAAGTACTCCACAATCGAAATATCTTATTTACCTCATTTAATAAAAACCACGAAAAACTTTAAATCTTAAGTTTTTATTTTGGCAGTTCTTAATTTGATTATTAAAAAATTTTGGTCATTTAAAGCTGTTTTAAACTTACAAAATTAGTTAAAACCTGATGGAAAATCGCGAAAAAATATAAACTTAAATTAAACAACTTTTATATAAAATTTAGATTAAAATATTATGTAATCATTTGATAATAATCAAAATAAAGCTAAATCTATTTTTAAAACTATCAAAAACTCTAGTAAAATGACTAAAAACTGCATAGTTTTTTTCAAATTTTAATTTTTCGAACGTACATATAATAACATCCCTATACTTTCGATAAGTCTGTCGAACATGAATGTTCGTATCAAATTAAAACACTTCAATCACCCCATTCTTCAATGCAATCATCAAAATCACGATTTTCGTCATCAAAATCAATACAATCATCGGAAAAACCATAGGACACATCATTAGAATCATCATCAAAATCAAAACAATCATTGGAAACATCATTCCAATCATCATCAAATACATTTTCCTCGTTAATAACATTATCAATTTCAATTCGATCATCATCAAAAACGTCGTTGTCTTGATAATCATCAAATAAATTACCACCAACATCGGAATTTAAACTTTCTGCTTCACTAATAGCACCATCATTAATATTTTCGTCAAAAATATCATCAGTTAATTCTCCTTCATCCTGATCAAAATCATAAAAGTCATCAATTAATTCGCCTTGATCCGAATCATCAGGATCTTCAAAATTGTCGCATTCGAAATTAGCTGGCTCTGTTTCAATAATAAATCCACTGTGTTCGCTTTCTCGGTCACTGGGTGACTCTTCCTCGTAATAATCATCACTGCTGCTGCTTTCCGTGTCGTAATTGTAATAATTACTGAGTGGCTCTATAGGCTCAGTAGGTCTAATTGCATGAATTGGCTGTTGATTTGTCTGAATTACTGGTCTTGGACTTTGATTATTCTCTTCTATTGTAACTCGTTCAGAAATGGCTTTTGCGATAGCTGTTATATCCTCATCAGAAACTGCACATAAAGGAACGACTTCAGATGACGGAAAAGCTTGTCTACAAACGGGACAATTTGCTCCATTCTCACATCTACGAAATGTAAATAAACAGAAATGATTCATGCACTTTGAAATTTAATACTCACTTGTTTATCCATTCGAAGATACATTGTGTATGATAGACATGTCCACAAGGAGTACTTGATATTGTTGTTTCTCCTTTAACAAGCACATCCGTACAAATACAGCATTCAAGAGGCATTTTGCAAGCAAAATTTGATGCTTTGATTAATTAAATCGATCACAATTTATAAATGAGCCTTAAGTCTAATGAAATATTATTAAGAATACTTTAAACTGGCTTATTTTGGCACTAAATTTAATTAATTTGTGGAGCTAAAATGCTCTTTTTCAAGCTCCGTTACTGACTGTTTTTTGTTCGTTTCTATTCTTTGTTTTGTTTGCTCAGAATCTGAAATGAAATATTAGATGATTAAACGCTGATTAAGCAAAAATATAACTTACATTCAATGTTATACGGCGGTATAACACTTTTACAGAGTTTTCTCCCAACCTCCGAATGAGGAGGTTGTGGAATTGTGTAATACTTCAAAATTAATTAATTACGCGTAGGAATAAGTCACAAACCTACTGAACCTGTCTTCAAAGTAACAAAGAACAAAGATACCAAGGAGAAAACTCAGCAAAGTCGCGATTTAATTAAATTTTGGATATAAATTGAAATTGGAAAAAAAAAATGTGCAAATTTTGCACATAACCTAGATAAAACGGAATTGATCATCATCGGAATACCAACGACCATTTAATTACATTGACAAATCACGATCGGCGGCAGTTGTGAAGAGAATCAATTGTTTCACGTGGGTTTTTTGTGTTTTACCAACAATCGTGGACAAGAAGGTTCTATCATAACCATAACCTAGACATATTGAATATTATTGGAATACAACGGATTATCGTCAATTGTGAGGAGAATTTGTCTCGCGATGGGTTTTGTGTGTTTCCCCATATATCGCGGGCAATTCTATCAATCAATTGGTGCTGACTGGATTTCAACAAACCAACATTGACAAACAGGAATCGATCATCTCGAAATACAGCAGATCATATTAATTAAATTGACAGATCACAATCGAGCCATAAGAAAAAATTGAATCTATTTGGAATATCACAAGTTAAATTACAAGGACTGTCAAGGGATCTGGATCATCGACAACTGAAGATGGTATTTTTTGCCTAGCGATGGTTTTTTTGTTGTTTTGACTTATCGCGGGCATGTTTTCTGTCAACCATTTGGAGTTGACTGGATTTTATTGATTGTTCTTTGTGTATATCTGTAAATTAAACTACCTGGAATTGTGAACGGTCTTTAAATAGCAATAAGCTGATGGACCATAATAAAGTTAATTAAGAAGAAGAACACTTTTACAGCTTTTTAATGTGGAATTAAATTTTTTCATTTATTAAAACCTTTCAAATGTTTCCAAACCCATACAAATTCTTAAAAGCTGAAACATTTGTATGGTTTTTATTTTGAAATTTTAACGATCGTTAAAAACTTTTACTGAATTTTTCAAAGCTTATCAAACTTGTCAATGCATGCAAACTCATGAATAGACATGTCGCACAAAAATGTAGCCCATTCCACCTGTTGATTTATGCAAAATTATTTCCAATAATTTTATTAATAATTGAATTGGCACTTTTGGTAACTTTAAAGAACAGTCAGGTGAGAAATTTGTTAATTAAACTTTTTAAGAAATTCTCAAATTAAATTCTAGTTCATCATCTTCCAAGCTGTTCACTAGATCGGATAAGCCACTGTCATCATTATTATTATTTGGTCTCACACATACTTTATGTGGACAATTACCCCCTCCATGATAATCATCAGTTGTTTCCTGTCTTTCAATTCGCTTTTTTAGGCTCTCAATTATTGCATCCTTAGCTTTCAGTTCCTCATTTGCAACAAGAAGAGAATCCATAACAGAATTCAGTAAACTTTGCATCTCTGTAAGCTTATCAACATTCATGGGTTGTTGATTATTGCTGGCGCTGGATGTTGATTCCTCCAAAGTTAATAATGGAATGACATTGTATGGATCAAAATTTGCACGGCAAATAGGGCAACTTCCTGTATTTTGATTGCTATAACATGTTATAATGTGAGGAAAATTGTTGTAAAATTATGAAATTAATAACTCACTTTTCTATCCATAATAAAAGGCACTGCCTGTGATAAACATGTCCACAGGGCGTTGTTGACAGTGTTGAGCCTGGCTGAATCAGTTCTTCTCTGCAAATAGAACACTCAATTGGCATTTTTGTGATTTATTATGCTGCTTATGTCAATAACACTTCAAATACTATCAAAGAAATATTGTGGATAATATTAGATCACAAAATACTGATTGTCTAGCTGATTTAAAGGTGAAAATGTGCTGTGTAAAATTACTGTTGTATGGTTCTGAATTCAAATTTTAAAAGACGGTTAATTTTTAAATATAAAAAAACTTTAATTAATAAGTATCTTTTCTGGATTACACTTTAGCTTTCTATAGGAATATAAACTTGGATTATATTAATTTTACATCATAGCAAAAAAATTTAAATTGTCCTTAATTAAGGCTTAAATTAAATTCCAATTCATCGTCGTCTAAGTCGTCAACATAAGCATTAAGTCCACTGTCATCATAATTCGATGAATGTCCACTATCAATGCAGTTCTGGTTATAATAAATTCCTTGTGGCTTGTTAATGCGCTCGACATGCATTTTAAGGCTTTCAATTATCGCCTCACGTGTCTTTAACTCGACATGAGACGACGATGGAGATAGACTCAAAGATCTAGCTCCTAGTGCTGGCAATCTTTCCCTAATTTCAGTCATCATTGTATTTAAATTGACAAGAGAGTCAAGAATGCCTTGTAATAAATTTTTTGTCTCCACGTGCTTCTGTTCAAGCTCTGCAAAGTGATTAACGGCACTTGCTGTACTTCCATCAATTTCATCCAAAGTCAATAGAGGAATGACTTTATTTAGATAGAAATTCCTGCGGCAAATTGGACAGTTTCCTTGATTTCGCGTTCTGGAACTAGATCAACAAAACAATGAGTAAGCAGCACGTGAATTGCTAAATTCTAAAACTTACTTTTCAATCCAATCTAGAAGACATTGAGTATGATAGACATGTCCACAAGGTATTGTTGATGTTTTACTTCCTTGACGCAACAATAATTCTTTGCAAATACAGCACTCAAGTGGCATTTTTGATTATTAAACTTTTATTGCTGACAAAAGCTGATCCAATTCGATTGGAGGTTTAATGACGACTGACTGTTGACAAATTATTTTTATAGTATTACTGAAGGGGTTTTTTGATTTGTTGGTGCTGAATTTAATGATTTTGGGCCTGTTTGGTGGGATTCAGTGGATATTTTATAGGAAATTGGAATTTAAAGTTAAATAAAAGTTGAATTTAAGGAACACTTCCAGTGGAGCTCAATAAACTTCCAGTTAACCTTCCATAGATTCTAATTAATTCCTGGAAAGTTCCAGCGGAATATGAAATCCTTCCAGTAAAAGATCCAGTAGAGATCCTCAAAAATATCCAAAACATTTTAAATTACTTTTTTAACTCGCATCTTTTATTCAGAAACTTCATTTTTAATTGAGGAAGATACAAAAATAGATAAAAATATGAAGATGACTTCATTTTGTCCGTGAAAAACTATAGAAAAGTAATAAACTGTGAGCTCATTACTGTAATGAGTCATTCATATTATATGGCTCCAGAAATGCAGATTAAAACTTAATTTTTTTTTTGGGATCACAATTTTGATTTTATAAGCACAGAGGCATTTCAGATTATTAATTCCACTTGCAATCTTACTGATTAATGTCATAAGACATAAGAAAAATGCAGCATTTAGAAATCTCCAAGAATCATTCGGTCCGAGATGTCATCAAATTTTAAGGATAAAGTGATTGGCTTTGGTGGCTGGTTCTCGTTAGTTGAATTGTGTAAGGCACGATCGTCTCTGGACATTGCATTCTTTCTCTTTAAATCACCAATTTGCTGTTGTATTTCAAGCATTTGCTTGGCTGCTTCTGCTCGTTGACTCTTCAAGTCCTGTATTTCCTTCTTTAGACCGACAATAACTCCATCTTTGGCCTTTAATTGATCAACTGCTGGATTTCCACCAAGAAATCCTTCCTCTTCCATTCTAACGATTTTTTGCTTTAATTCAGCATTATCATTCTTAATATCGGTTACTATCGTAGTCAAATTATTTACGGAATCCATAACAAGCTCCAAAATGCTACGCGATTCAGCATCTCGCTTTTCTAATTGTTTCACATAATCATAAATTGCGTCTATTGCCTTTGTTTCATTGTCGTCTAACGAGTGTAATGGAACTGTCTTGCTTGGATCGAAATTTGAACGACATACTGGGCAAATTCCCTTATTGTTGTTCCTGTAAAATTGATATTTGAGTCATAATTTTATTCTCAATTTCATAATTTATCTTAAACTCACTTTTCTGTCCAATCTTTAAGGCATTGTGTATGATAGACGTGCCCACATGGTGTACTGGATACCTTTAAACCTGCTTTTAACAACAATTCACTGCAAATACAACATTCGCTCGACATTTTCTTGGAATTAATGTTTTTATCTGCGTTTTATGTAAAATAAACAAAAAGTGATAATTTCTGAAGGGATCGTAACTCGGTAATAACTTATATAGATGTACTTTATTATGTTTAAAATTACAAATTACTGTATGTTTCTTAATTACAGTATGATTGCTAAATTACTATTGAGTAGATTCAAACGTGCTTAACAAAACTGATCTCGAATTTAACGTATTATTTTGATTTGTAATTTTCAGGTATTCAGTGTTGACCCCAACGGCTGAAAACAACTCAAACTTCAGAACACACCCACTATTTTTTCATATTTTACGTCGACTGAACGAACCGAGAAAAAATAGCACCAAAAGCAAAAGGAAAATTCGGAAAAATCGATTAAAATGAACGCAAAGGTGAGTAATTCATTCATAAAATGCACTAGAAGGAAAGTGAGAGTAGTGCAGCTTGTTACATGCACAGTGGAAATGCGCATATTAGCGAATTTTATGCTTTTTTCCTCAAAAATTGGTTGCATAATATTTTCATAAAAATTTGCTAGATTTTTATCACGTACACTTATTTAATTCCAGACAACACTTCGTTTTTTACAAGCTACACGCCAATTCTCAAGATCATCAGCAGCATGTAAGGATCAAGTTCATCCTGGATATAACAAAATTAAGTCAATCCAGGACCAATTTCAGGTTAATAATAGTATTATTAAATTGTATGATTTACTATAATTAAGGTAAAATAATTTTGCAGAAACCAGATGGACTTCCAGTACATTTAAAAGGAGGTGCAATGGATAAGGTTCTCTATGGTACAACAATCGTTGCCTGTGTTTTTGGAGTGCTTGGATTCGGTCAAGTCCTCTACGATCTTGGATTTGCAAAGAAGAATTAAGTTATTCCTCAATCCCAAGTCAAATCATTAAATAAGAATAAGTAGTCGACTTATCTTGTCGATGCAGTGCTGCTGGGATTTTACAAACACATAAAAGTATATAAAATAAGCATAATGTGGGATACTTAAGCATTTAAAAACGAAATTTCCTTCTTAAAAAGCATTTATGCGTCATTAAATCAACTTATCTACCTTAAATTCCGCATTTATTAAGTAATATTGTGAACGGATGAAGATGTAAAGTTTTATTTTTTTTATGTCACAGAAATAATATATTAAAGACCCAAAATAAAATTGAGCAAGCATTGGCTGAGACGAGAGTTTCCAAAATTATGAAAAATTGAAAAGAAAAGGAAAATATGCTTACTTATTAGTGTCTTTGTTGCAGTGTAGTATGCTATAATCATCCAATTACACATCAGATTCCAATAATATAAATTTCGTTGATGTTCTTTCCGGTTTGTCAACAAGTTATGTTTAATAATTCTATCAATTTTTTTTTCGACGAAAATTAAGCTATTTATGCATATTTTTGAGTTTATTCCATACTAATACCGTGTATTGAGCTCTTATAAAGCTTTTCTGCCACTTTATGCTAAGTTCTTTTGCTGAAAAACCAATTTTTAAGATAATTTTCAAATCCACCAACTTTTCATTGAAGAAAGAAAAACAAAAATTCGAATTGATTTTTATTTCACAGTACTTTTATTTCTTTAGCCAACAGAATAGTTTATAACAAATATCATCGTCCTTTATCATCCATTTCAAATGATTTATTTTATTTATTTTTCAATGTCTGTATAAATTAATTAATTTGCAATGTATCAAGATTTCATTTTTATTAAGTTAAGATATTTAATTCTATGCTTCTTATACGACTTTATTTTTTGAGCTTTTCAAGCTGGATTCTCCTTAACATTTTAAGACATTTAATGTGATAATCTAAGTTGGACTTCTAAAGCTGTAGTTTCTTCATCTTTTTCAACATTTTAGTTTCTTCTTTTGTGATCAATTTATCGATCGAAATGAAATTTTCTACGTTTTACATTTATCTCGCATGCAATAATTATTAATAATATATTTATTTAATATTCATAGACATCTAATTACGGTTTTCTTGGATATTTTATCAATAATTTATAAGGGATTTTTCGCCTTTCATTTTTTATCTACCAAAAATTCTTTTACTTTACTTCATTTTCACCTTTGACTAAATTTTTTTATTAAAAAGGAAAAGTTTTAAGCGTTTTTCTTTCTTTTTTTATCTCATAATTTTGTTTAGAGGAGGTGCTACAGTGATGTGCAAATTTTGATCTGCGGCATTTTTTATTCAAGTTGGTTTCACATTTACTGTTTCAGAATATATCAATACATATTTGTAGGGGTCTGACGCTGCGTTAAGATCCAGGGGATGAAGCTACATTGAGCGGATAAATAACGGTAATTTTTTGATTAGATAATTAAGTGACCGTTATTTATCAGCTCAATGTAGCTTCTTTTGCTCGATCTTAACGCAGTTTTAGACCCCAAAAATATGCAGCCAATTATTGATGTTGACTAAACTTTGAAATAACCGAGGTTTTTGTAAAGTAAAAGAGCTACTATACTAATTAGTATCTGTGGTCGGCAAAGAGCTTATAAAATCAGTTGAAACTTTAAAGATTTGAATTTGAATTTTTAAACATTTCAGGCGTTAAAATTTAAATTCAGGAAAAACGTTATTTGATCATAATTTGTTTTGCTGTTTTTAAGTCATTTTGCTATTAAATAATAAAGTACTTAGTTTATTTCATAGCCTTTTTGGGTCAGTAAACATTTTGATATTCAAAAAATTAGCATTAAGTAGCTTAATTCACTAGACTTTGGGATTTCCCAAAATAATTTTTTCCTTCGTCATGTTTGTTTACATTTCGACGAAAAATATTTGAAAAAGAAAACGCGAAATTTTATCAAAACCAGATGAAATATTGAATCCATAAACAGTTTAAAACAAAGAATGTGTATCTATTTTATGTTTAAAATAGTAATCTGTAAGAAAACACAAGGATTTTGGCTGTAAATTAACAAAATTTTCTGATTGGCTAAAATTCATAACGGATTAAGTTCTAAAAATAAGGACTACTAAAAAAGTACTAAATCTAATTGTTCTAAAAATAAGATCCGTTTGCCGACCACAGATTAGTATATTCTAACTTGAACTACTATGTAGTAGCTACTTAACTATAGTAAGTTAAAGTATTAGGATAACCTTGCTATTCGAGTCATTCCATAGTTTTTAAATTACAGAAACTATGTGAACACCAAGTCAAGCCTACCCTCCCAGAAATTACATCAAAAGACTTGTTTTATCCAAATAATGAGACCGATTTTTATTGCCGCATCACAAAGTTTATACATCACTGCGTTAAAACGTTTAAAGAAGGCTAATAGATAAGTAGATGGATGGATGTATAGATAAAAAGTATCTTGATGAAGAAGAAGAAAAAAAAGTTGTTTCTTCACGCCCACAAAAAAATAAGCCTCTATAGAACTTCTTTCATCTCAATAAGGAGAGAAAAGCTTTAAAAATATATATCGTAATATGTAAGCTCGAAATCAAATTGGTTTTAAGATCATCATCATATAAGTAAATGTTAACTCAATTCATATATATTTATATATTTTTATCTTAACCCTCTTCTTCCATCCTTGTTGTATTTTGTTTTTAAAAAATAATTTTACTAAGGTATAATGTGTGTTTGTGTTTTGTATAGTAGGTACGTACGTAAGCATTCAGATATATGAATATGTAAAAAGGAAAAACTTATTAAGAGCTAAAGAAGAAACAATAAAGGAATTTGGTAAATTGTTACAATAAAGAGATAAATAGATGGAAAGATAGATTGTCTGGAGTGTTGTTTCTTGTGTTTTGTTGTTTTCTCAGTAAGTAGTTCTATTGATAAATATCCCTTTTAGGTAAATACATAAAACATTAATATTTGTGTCTTTATTATTATTGTTATTATTATGTTTCTGTTTCTTTTGTGTGTATATAAATGTTATAGTCTTGTCATTTAAATTGTTTTTACTTCTTCTTAATGTTCGAACCCAATAAATGGTTCTTCCTTTTTCGGCAGACTGAATTTAAACCATCTTAAATGGTTATTAATAGATGAGGATTGTTGTTGTAGAATAAATTTGTGATGATTCTCGGATGTGTTCTAATGTTGGGAAATGCTTGATACAAATTAGATTACAGAAATGTTACCTCGATCTCTCTTTAATTTCATTTCTTTTTATTTCTCGTAGGCGACTTGGAGATGTGTCTGTCATGGCTACTGTTGGAAAATGCTCATAGAATACAAATTTGTAGGAAAAAAAGAAGGCTCCTTGGCAGTAGATAATTAATGGTATCGTAGGGATTGAGCTTATTTAATAGTTCAGAGCTTTAATATTTGTATTCATAAGAGGATAAAGCTGTTCAGATTATGAGCGATTTGTGACTGGTTGCTAAATGTTGGTTTACTGGATAATAGATGTTTAAAGATGGTTTTAATCATTCTAATAAATGTCTTCTTAATGTTTGAATTTAAGATTGATGTATTGAAGTTTATTATGCACGTACCAAATCAGCTAACCATTATGTCACCTAGCCACTTTAGATCCAACGGATAAACCAAATTTATTTTGCTCAATTCATAAAATTCCCCCAATAATGCACTGAATTCGCTCAATTTGTTTAATTTAAAATTGCTTTAAGCATTTCCAATTCCATATCCATATAAATCCATACATTGAACATTTTCCATATCCAATTGAAGCAGAAAGCAATATTGTTGTAAATTTTATACTCAATGTGGAAAAAGAAAAATATGTTAACAGTACTGCTGAATGTGATACAGATAAATTTTAAATGCTTTTTACTCCATTTCCCCAACTTCTGTTCTCGAGAATCAACAGAATATTTCTTGTTTTTGGAATGTATGTATAAGCTTAAATCAATTTTACTCTTATTATGTATAATTTATATTTATTATTCTCATATCTCTTGCTAATTTGATAATAAAAATTTGTCATTTTGATTCATGATCATTTTCATTTCATTGCATTCAGCTTTAAATGGAACTAAGGAAGAAAAACAAAAGCAAAAGAAAAATTGTGCGAAGGATGAGAATGAAAAAGAAATGCTAAAATAATTTATTTCAACAACAATTTTCCTTTCAAGTATCTTCAACATAATCTAAGTACCTTGTAGCATAAAATAAAATAAATAAATGCGCATCGTCATGATTTTTTTTTATCGCCAACAATGGAAATATTATTTTTTCTTTAAGAGGTTTTAAAGGATTTTTGTGAGACAAATCAATGCTTCAAATGGATGATCCTAGTCCTTGATCTTTCACTGACAATCTTATTTTGAATTTATAACCTTGAGATACTTCAAAAAAGCCTATGGAGTGTGTGCTTTAGAACAATATTTGTCATGTTGATATCAACAATTGGTTTTTAAAGCTATACAAGGTAATATCGGATGGAAGTTTTGGAATCTAGATTGGTTGGACTTAAGCTAAGCATGAAAGAATAGGCAAGAACGTAGCTTTGAGGTTAGGTCACATCAGGAGTATCTCTATCTTGACCAGCATCGTTAGAATTTAGTCAGCTGGAAACCCAACAATTGCCAAACGAATTACACTCAGTTCGATTAGTTCTCTTATTCATCTATACTGACAAATGAAGAAATATAAATCGACTGAGACCAGTGAAGGTTTGCTTGGTATTCCAATAACCCAGACTCAAAGACCTAATTCCTAACCTCTCATCTAGTTTGCCCAATTCTTTCACCACCCATTAGTACTTATTAAACAATAGAAATCATTAATAGTTCTGTTTAAATCTTACGATGTTTTGGTATATTCAGTCATTAAATGGTGGGATTATTCGTCAATTACTCTTTGAGTGATGCTTTGTTCAATTGATTATGTGTTTAATGTGTAATTTGTCTCTCGTAAATTGTTTTTTGTGTTATCGCATTGGACTTGAAAATATATTTCGTTCTTGGTAATGTTTATTGGTTTCATTGAAATACTATTGAACTTTTAACACAAATAAGGAAGATAAATTATTTCTTATTGATGATAATGTCTTAAAAATAAACGTCAGTTCACTATACAAACTGATGTATTCGGTTAGCTACATATATTATCGTCCCAAATCATTTAAAAGTTCAATCGTATATATACATACATTGTTTATTCTGTTTGTATACATAATAACTCTAATGATAATTTTATATTTATAACTCTAATATGCTTTTTTGCTTTAACAGTCATTAGACATTCAATTAACTAGCGGATATTCTTAAGCTCTCAATTTATATTTTCTTTCTCCCTTTAACCTCATTTTAGTTTCCTTTGTGCTTAGTAATTTATTAATTAATTTACCTTTATGTTGGATCTATAATAGAAATTGATTTTCTTTTTTTTATAAACACATTAGTTGCTCCCAATAGGATGCTGTGCAGTTTAATTGAATTGATTTTGCTTGTATTGGTGTTTATCTCTTTAAAAAAGCTTAATTTTTTCAGATTTATTTTATTATTGTTAAGGATAATTTTATAACTTTTACTTTATTGAAAAAGCAATGCAACGGAAAAGTGAGTTTTTAATTTTACTATAATATTAGTTTTTTACCCTTTTGAGTTATCTTAATTGGATTCCCCTTTGTGTTATTGTTTTTGTTTTCTTTTAATTCTCAACCAATTAACATCAACAAACCAAACTTTAACTTAATTATTAGACGAATAATTTTACTGTTCAACATAGTAAATTCAACATAATAGATTCTATGTTAACAATTTCTTTAAAATATCCTTACTTTTCTACAAACTATTTTTTATTTTTCAATATTTTTAATTAAAACTTTGGATTCAGCTATAAATCTTTCGTAAACAAGGCAAAAAATATCCATCGCTCATCAATAAATCTAATTAGTGTTACATGAATATACGGATTCCATAATAGCCCACGCGGATAATCGTATTTTCATGCAATTTCAATCTAGTTCTTAGATTTAAGTGAGCTTTTGAAAAAGGTAGACATATCATGCAAAATTAAATTATATTCAATATCAATTTAGTACGTTGAGAGATTTTAACATTGTTTTGTGGTGGTTGCAATTGAATGAATGGAAATGGATTTATAGCTTTTGAATTGAATTGAAAGTTTTATTTTGTAATGTTAATAATAAGAAAGATAATCAATTTCCATTATAGATTCATTTAATTATTGTTTAATACTTAAATTACGATCAATCAAATAAATATTTATGTTGAGAAGTTTGAAGATTATTAGGATTTGGAGATCTTTGGGTTTTATTTATATGATTATATTGGTGTGAGGTCTTGGTTCCTTAGTATTAAATGTTCTTTGATATACTTCAATGTTTATTCTGGTTTTAACTTGCATTAGCTTAATATTATCAATTTTATTCTCCAGCTTAAACTGAAGTTGATACTCTAGAGTAGATGTGCTATGAGTATGATACAAATCTGGAAAATCAGACCCAGAAATCTGCTCATTATTCATTTCATATTAATGACTATAAATTTTAATTGGAAACCCCTTGAAATCCTAATTGTCTTCAAACCACGAACACAATTCATCAAATTTTCAAAAATTTATTTGTTCCTTTGCAGCATATGCTTTTTTGTATATGTAAATATGTGTATGATATACAATGAGTTAAGAGAGGATGAAAACGAGATGAACAATTTTTGTTTATTAATAAATATATTATTATCTTGTGGTTTATAAAGCCCAATAAAGAATTAAATTTCTTCTTTTTGTATGCATGTGATAGAATGAATGTGAAAAAAGATTCAATTTTATTATCGAAAAATAGCCACAGACAGTAAAAATTGCGTGAACATCGAATATAAGTTATTTATGTATCTCTCATTTCATTATTATTTTTTTTTTTGTGAATTTAATACTTTTTTTCGAGCAATTTTAATTTATTTTACGCTTTTCTGTTTTCCATTCATCATGAACACAATGATTAATTTTTTTATGCTTTTTTTTTTTTTTTTTGCAAAATTTCATTATTTTATTTTTTTTCTCGGCTTTACTGTAAATATCTATGGAGTTTTCATTACTTTCTTCTTAGTTTTCTTCATTTAAATTGTAAAAATGCTATAATGCTAATGTGAAACGCAATCTATCTAATTTGTTTCTTGATTTATTTGCAATGAACCAGGAAATGAGGGAATTTAATCAGTAAATTGACGATTCTTGTCATCTTGGGCACCTCTAAGTATATAAAGTAGGATACAGGACCAAAAAGGTTTTAAAACCAACAAAGCTCGAATATTTTGATCATTGACATTTAGAACAGGAATATTCATTTTAAAAACAGAAGACAATGCATAAAATAGCTAAGCTTAGGAGTTGGTCCTTGCATTGAACTTCTAATCAAACTTTAAATTGATATAATTAAGAGATTACCCAAGATTATATCTTTGACAATGATGGTCAACAGAAAATCAATCATTCAAATTTCAAGAACCTTCATAGTCGTTCATGGACCACCATCACATTAATCCGAAATTCTTCATCACATTCTCTATTAAAATTCTCATTCTACTGAGTAAATTCCACCTCACCTCCTTCGAGTTCAGGCATCGATTATCAAAGATGGTTATGGATTTTGAAGATTTAATGTCGAATCTCAACCAAAAAAATGAATGGAAATGGGAGATAAAATGAGAAGATATTAAAAAGGACGAAACGGAATCAAAAAATTGTGATTTGAATCGCACGAATAAATTTTTGGCTATAGCTGGTTTTTCTATCGAATTGAATAAATATCATAGATTTGATGAGAATAAAGAAAAAATTAACATAATTTTGGGCTAAAAGGTCGCAGACAGAATGCACGAAAAATAAGAAAATAAAATAGAATTTGAACCTTTTTTTAGGTCATAACTACGAAAAATGGAATAAAGCTTTTTTGAGATCCCTTTTTCATATTGTAGTTTACACATATGATAAGAAGAAATATGTCTTAAAAAAGAATATTCGGATGGATGTAAAGTGAGACGACAAGAAGTATAAAGTTTTAACTTCTTATGCATTCAATTCAGAAATATATATAAATTTTTATGTTTGCGTGTGTGTGTATATATATATATAGTTTTGGGTGGCTGAACATTCATCTCATTTAGTCCGTTTCAGTTCTTTTTTCTTCAGCTGAGCCTTCATATCTGACATCCATGTAACTGCGAATATAAAAAGAATTGAAAAGAAAAGAAAATTTAATAAACATTTTATATTGATTTCTTGTGACTTTGTGTAGAGCATTAAAGGGCTTTGGTTGGAACAATTGATAGAATGTTGTTGATATTGGATTTATATTTCAATTTTGATACTGATGATTTTCTCCTTGACTGTTATTAAGGTAATAAGATGATAAAAGTTAAAAATAAGATCAAATCCAAGTAAGTTATGTCAGGTTTATCAAGTAAGATCATTTTACTATGTTTTTTATCAAGTTAGATCAAGTTATATCAAGTTAGATCAGCTAGATTAAAAGATCTTATATAACATAGAACACCCGAAATCTAAACAAGTTATTAGATTTTTCTCATAATTAATAACTTTCTCCAATCTAAATTGTAAACAACATCCTTCCATGTCCAAAGTCAACAAATAGCCTCATCTTATATCCTCTTGTACATTGTGTATCAAAATCTTCAGACATACAAGCAATTAATTCCATAAAATAATGAACGTAAAATTGTATACAAAAAATAAAGACACAACTCAAAGTTAAGGAAGTAAGGATGATAAAAGAAAAATCTAGAGACCGGAAAGACTTTACTAATTATAAAAAAATTTCTCATGACATTGTACAATGTAATTTGTTGCCAGCAGACAGGAACAAATAGACTGATAAGTTGAATGTAAACAGCACATCCCACCTACAATTCAACAACCTCCGTGACATTACCAATTCAATTTATTTAATTCAATGCTGTAACTAATTTTAATATATTCAAACAATTAAATTTTACTTATTTAAGAATTTTATGAATGGAGGTGTAAGACTGATGGAAGTAAATAAAATTTTCCATTTTACAGTCAAGAATGAAACTCATTGAATTGTTCTTTGTCAGGGAAGCTTATTCATTGAATTTATGTCAAGGTGAAATGAAAACAAGATAGAATGAAAAGACAAGATTTAAAGTCACGGTTCATATTCGCATACACTAGAGAAAATAAAAGACAAGATTCTTTATGTCACGAATGTACAATGATACGCGAAATTTGCATATCATGACATTTCATTCTTCGTAAAATGAGATGAGAAGGAAATTCTTGGAAAAATAAAATGAACATCACGTGCTGGGAGAATAATGAAGATAGTGAATGGCATAGGAAGTTGTGCTTATAAAGTATAGGATTTATATGGTGAGGAGGCTAATGTTAAAGGATTTAAAATATGGATTGGGAAAACTAGTGGCTGGAACTAGGGAACCAATTCAAAAATCATGAACAGGGTTTGGAACTACAAATTAACCCTTAAATATATTTAAAAACCTAGACGACAATTTCTAATTACAATCATATGATAAATATAGGTTCAATGGAATAAAAATCATTTAATTACGAATTGACATGTTGATATGTCGATAGCTTAATAAAATGCCAGTATTTCAATTGAAATTAGACTTCATTACATAATAACACAACTTAAATCTACATTACAAATTCATAAATTAGATTTTGTAATTTTACTGATTTTGACAACTGGCATTGAGTTATGTATTAATGCAGGATGATGATTCTAAATTTGGATATTGCTAAATTCAATCTTAAACATCAAGATGTTTAAATATAAATAGAACTTTTTTATACTTATTGATTGCAATAAATTAAGGACGATTAAATGAATGATTTTGTAAACAAGTCAATTGCAGATATAGGAAAAGTTTTGATCAGTGATGACTTTATGCTGCAACATACTTGTGTATTGTAAAAAAACTTTTAAGTTTGTCATGAGATCTATAAATTTGGCTAAATTTAAAAACAGTTTGATTTCAAACTTATAAAAATCCTATTTTTGACTGAGTCAATACAATAAAAATCCTCTTTTTCCTCTAATATAATTTATGAATACATCAAGCTGTACACGAGAAGGTAAAAAAAAATTTAAACAAAAATCTGAGCCTTAAAAAACAATCCCAAAATACGATCATTGAAAATTGAGTTACATCTGTTTCGTAACATCTCAAAATAATATTCGAACTTTAACCTTTATGTCTTACATATTTCCAGAAGGGTTGCTTACACCATAACACACAAAAATATATATTATTATCGATAAAACCTTTAAGTTACAAAAATATTCCGGTAGAAAAAAAGTTTGTGTCTTTCGCGATTTTCATACAAAAAGTTCCTGAAACTTCTCAAGCAAATCCGATAAAAGCAAACCTCCCAATAAATCTCATGAAACTTTATCATATCAACACGCGGGGGTTGTTTATCTATCCAATAAAATTAAAATCACAACAGCAATTTTCATCTCTTTCAATCGTTGTCAAAGTTGATATAAAAACATTCTCATATCTCCTTTCAATATTCTTAGTGGATTGACTTTGTGAAGGAAAGGTCCTTGCTATCGATTCATTGTCTGTATGTCAGTCTATGTCAGTTTATGTCATTCTATGTCAGTCTATGTCAGTCTATGCCAGTCTATGTCCGTGTATGTCAGTCTATGCCAGTCTATGTCAGTCTATGTCAGTCTCTGTCAATCTCTGTCAGTCTCTGTCAGTCTCTATCAGTTTCTGTCAGTCTCTATCAGTCTGTTTATCTGATTGCCACCTGACTACTCGTCCAACTCAAATCGAACCTTAATTACAGTAGGATGAGTCAAAGAAGGTTTAAATCAAAATTAGAAAACAAACCAAAAATGCGCTTTCGTCTGTCAGCCACAAGTAAGCCTAATTCTACTAGTTCTTCATGTGCTGTGCACACTCTGCATTATTTTCTGTGTCATGTGCCCTTAAGGAATTGACAGGTATGTTTGAAAATGTCAAATGATGAAATAAACAACTCTCAATGAGAAACTTTTCAATTTGCTGTTGAGTGGAATGGAACAAAAAAATGTGAAAAATCTGTGTGTATCATAAAAAGTTATCATATGCGAATATTTAGGAACCCACAAAAAAATGTCTCATGGGGTGAAACTAACAAAAAGTGCTACAGAAAACACAAAAAGGTGGATTTTTTTCTTTCTTTTTAATGTAAATGTTGACATTTAATAATATGGAAATTTTTGTTGAGGCAAAATTTAAGTATTTGATGAAAAGTTTTTCTGCTGATTCTGTGAAGAAAAAAATGTTTTAAATGAAAAGTTTAATAACAGCTATCAAGGGAAAAGCTTCGTTAAGGTGTGTTTGCTTAATATGAGTAAATTTAAGTAAGTGAGCTAATTTAAAAAGATGGAATTGAGTAAATTTTACCACAGAGATTCAGATTTGAAGTTAAAGCATTTAAAGTTAAAAGCTTCTGATCAATTCTAATTCTTTTCAAATGGAGGAGGAGATAAAGCATTTAAAGAAGAATGAGACACTAAGAGAATTTGCAGAACTTACAGACTTGAATGAGACGACAGATTTGGATTTATGTTTTTCCTAACTTCAAAAATGGAAATGTTATAACTTTAAGTAGAATTCATCATCTTATAGTAAGAATAGAACCCAATAATTCCTTCCAACAGAGAAAATCACAGGTCTGTAGCCTATAGCCAATTGATCACACAGAACTTTCTTTTGCACTAGCACATTTGTCTATATATGATTCGATACTCTAGATTCAATTCTATTTCGATACCATACCAGACAACTTAGACTTCCATGCAAATCATAGGTCATCCTAAAAGGTAGAATATCTTCTCATAACTCGATTCCTATCAACCGAATAGTCACAAATCTGGATTTATTAAAGCTTCACTCATCTGTGCATTATCAATCTCAAAATGCACTTAAACCTTGAATTAATATTTATTTTGACATACGATGAAAGCTTTAACTCAGCATATTCAAACAAACAAATATCTAAAAACTAGTTTATCGGGTAGAAACCCAATGCGGATATATTCACACCGTACCATCAAAAGTCTTATGGATAGACCAAGATTTGCTCAGCATAAGTTTGAAGGGTGGGCATGAAGTACTGCCGAGACCCATATCGAAACAGTTCAAAAGTTATACCTAATTTATGTTTTAATTATGTCAGCTACAAAAACACTTAGTTTGAATTTTGTTACCCTCGGGAACACTATGAACCAGTATAGCTGATTTTGGTCCAAATCTCGGCCATACTTCAAACTTATTTGAACCACATTTTCTCGTAAATGTTAAAATATAATTAAAAAGTAATTAATCCTGAATTATGTCGCTATTTTGTCAAGTGTTTTAAGATATAGAATTTGTTTTTTGGTTTCCACAGTGAAGAGTATAAACAAAATTCAGATGGGGGAGTCGAAAAAGCCTCGAAGAAAAAAGTGACAAAATTGATTTTGACTAGGGTCGCCCCTAGTCCAAAATTGAAAATGTATTTTTTCGAAGAAAAAAGTGAAAAACTAAATTTTGACTAGACCTGTCCCAAGTTCATAATTGAAAATGTATTTCCTACTTGGTTCTTTGCTCAAAAAAGTTTTAGGATGTTTTATTTGTATTTGTTTTAAGCACTAGAATATTTATGCAAAGTTTCAATCCATTTGAAAAAACCCTCGAAGAAAAAAGTGACAAAATTGATTTTGACTAGGGTCGCCCCTAGTCCAAAATTGAAAATGTATTTCCTACTTGGTTCTTTGCTCAAAAAAGTTTTAGGATGTATTATTTGTATTTGTTTTAAGCACTAGAATATTTATGCAAAGTTTCAATCCATTTGGAAAAACCCTCGAAGAAAAAAGTGACAAAATTGATTTTGACTAGGGTCGCCCCTAGTCCAAAATTAAAAATATATTTCCTACTTGGTTCTTTGCTCAAAAAAATTTTAGGATGTTTTATTTGTATTTGTTTTAAGCACTTGAATATTTATGCAAAGTTTTAATCCATTTGGAAAAACCCTCGAAGAAAAAAGTGACAAAATTGATTTTGACTAAGGTCGCCCCTAGTCCAAAATTGAAAATGTATTTCCTACTTGGTTCTTTGCTCAAAAAAATTTTAGGATGTTTTATTTGTATTTGTTTTAAGCACTAAAATATTTATGCAAAGTTTTAATCCATTTGGAAAAACCCTCGAAGAAAAAAGTGACAAAATTGATTTTTACTAGGGTCGCCCCTAGTGCAAAATTGAAAATGTATTTCCTTCTTGGTTCTTTGCTCAAAAAAATTTTAGGATGTTTTATTTGTATTTGTTTTAAACACTAGAATATTTATGCAAAGTTTCAATCCATTTGGAAAAACCCTCGAAGAAAAAAGTGACAAAATTGATTTTGACTAGGGTCGCCCCTAGTGCAAAATTGAAAATGTATTTCCTTCTTGGTTCTTTGCTCAAAAAAATTTTAGGATGTTTTATTTGTATTTGTTTTAAGCACTAAAATATTTATGCAAAGTTTTAATCCATTTGGAAAAACCCTCGAAGAAAAAAGTGACAAAATTGATTTTTACTAGGGTCGCCCCTAGTGCAAAATTGAAAATGTATTTCCTTCTTGGTTCTTTGGTCAAAAAAATTTGAAGATGTTTTATTTGTATTTGTTTTAAGCACTAAAATATGTATGCAAAGTTTCAATCCATTTGGAAAAACCCTCGAAGAAAAAAGTGACAAAATTGATTTTGACTAGGGTCGCCCCTAGTGCAAAATTGAAAATGTATTTCCTTCTTGGTTCTTTGCTCAAAAAAATTTTAGGATGTTTTATTTGTATTTGTTTTAAGCACTAAAATATGTATGCAAAGTTTCAATCCATTTGGAAAAACCCTCGAAGAAAAAAGTGACAAAATTGATTTTGACTAGGGTCCCCCCTAGTCCAAAATTGAAAATGTATTTCCTACTTGGTTTTTTGCTCAAAAAAATTTTAGGATGTTTTATTTGTATTTGTTTTAAGCACTAAAATATGTATGCAAAGTTTCAATCCATTTGGAAAAACCCTCGAAGAAAAAAGTGACAAAATTGATTTTGACTAGGGTCGCCCCTAGTCCAAAATTGAAAATGTATTTCCTACTTGGTTCTTTGCTCAAAAAAATTTTAGGATGTTTTATTTGTATTTGTTTTAAGCACTAAAATATGTATGCAAAGTTTCAATCCATTTGGAAAAACCCTCGAAGAAAAAAGTGACAAAATTGATTTTGACTAGGGTCGCCTCTAGTCCAAAATTGAAAATGTATTTCCTACTTGGTTCTTTGCTCAAAAAAATTTTAGGATGTTTTATTTGTATTTGTTTTAAGCACTAAAATATGTATGCAAAGTTTCAATCTATTTGGATAAACCCTCGAAGAAAAAAGTGACAAAATTGATTATGACTAGGGTCTGTTAACAGAAAACAGAAAAACAGCTGTTTTTCGACAAAAATCTATTAACAGAAAACAGGTCTCAAAAACAGATCTGTTTTCTGTTTTTCATTTTTACATAAAATTTACAGAAAAAAAGTTTCTTAATTTTTTGAAGAACTTAATATATTTTTCTATCTTGCTTCATATCCTCACAAAATTCTAAAAACTGATTTTTCAATCTGAACAAAACCAATAGATTCACACGTGAAAACGGTGTGAATATAATAATCTTTAAGTACATTCCATGATAAATCCTTCATAAATCATGAAGTTTGAAGTTACAATTTTAAATTATTCATCTTCTTATCCTAGAATCATAAAACTTTCCCATAATAAAATATCCATAAAATTTTTCATGCTAGTAAAAGTCTCATGTGAGTTGTAAAGGACTTAAAGAAGGAAAATAGGACAAGGAATAAAGGATGCACATTAAAAAAGAATGAGGAATATAAAAGATGGATATTGAGAATAGCTTCTTCAACGTAAATTTCTCGCATCATGAAGCATTATGTAGACAAAAAAAGAGATGGAGTTATACACTTATGATATTGAATGTTTAGGGATATTGAAGCTGGATGATACTCTTTAGAATGTTTTGTTGGAAGGTCAAACATAATTCTGTTAGACGTCATTATTTCACATCCCCAAGAGAAGAATGAATATTAATGGATAAGCATAAGAGCAAGTCCACAAACTTTCTATCAATTGATCCTTGCAACCCAATACACAAGTACTTACCTCGGATCATGTAAAATATCTTTAATCAAGCCTTTCAGAATCTGATAACGTGGGATCATCGGGTACATTTTTGAGGAGCTGTATTCCGCCTGAAATTTAGAGTAATAAAATTAAGATTTATTGAATTAATTGACATAAAAGCAACAATCAATGTCACAAAAAGTAGGTGACTCAATCTTGTATAATGGCAATTGTGGGACGTACCTTTAATTCCCTGATTAAATTCCGTAAGCCTTGATATTTTTTCAGTAAACGATATAAATCGTTAATCATTTGTGTATTCTCATGTTCTATTTGTGATGTTGTCATGGGATCTAAGCGCTCTAAACGTTCCTTTTTCTCAGCCGCTTCCTCTGTCAGTTTTTGTGGTGTTTTTTGTTCAGATTTTTGTGTCTTTTCCATTATGGAGCAAGCTCTCATCACAAATGCTGGAACGGTTTCTTGTTTCTCTTGTTTTGGGATTTCTACAAGTGTCCAATATTGTGTTTCGAGTTTTATGACTTCCTACACATGACATGAAAAAAATACAATAAATTGATGCGACATGTGAGAAAACAATTTTTGACACACTCAGGAAAAGTTTAGGCAATTCAGATAAGAATTAATTTTGAATGAGCTGGGTACTCTAGGCAATGAAACTCGGTAGTCACGATGTTAATTATTTGAAGCTGAATTTGATTTTTTTTTTTTTGGTCATTTTAACTTGTTTTCGTCAGCCTTAACAATCTATTAGTTGACATCTGAGATTCCATCACCCTGATACATGCCCACTCACACACCTACGTACCTTTATCATTACTTTAAGCATTGGATAACGATGAAAGATGTTCCTTTGACTCTTCGAGTCACTATATTTTGTTATAAGAGCATTAAGTGCCTGCTTTGCTGTTTCATAACTTGCCTCAAGACGTACACGAAACAGTATCAGTCTTTCATTGATTTCAATTACTTCCTCACGACTAAGGCCGCTCATCGTGCCTTCGTCCTTTACATCTTGTACAATACGACGTACGCTTTGTGTGAATTTACCCATCAGATTGCTGCCACCTTAAAATACACAGAGATATACATTTATTAGGATATAATGTTACGCCTTCTGAATGTATTTAATTGTGTCATTGCTTGAGGATATTTGTTCTCCTTTTTTAGTCTATTTAATGTAGAAAGGTTATTGTCTTTGTCGTGATACTGGACTGTCTTCCTGAAAGAATTTTATTGAATGTTTTTCGTCGGACATGAAGATTTTGGCACGTGTAGTCTATTTTTTAAAGATTTTTTCAAAGTAAAGATGACTTTTAAGATTGGAATTTGATGAACTTTGAGCCACAGCATGCACAAGAGTTTCTTACCAACTAGTCATCAAAGATTCATCTCGGAAGTCCATCATGAAATTATGTCTTAGTTTTAAGAACCGTGATTTGACACATAGCTACTAATTTGCATTAATTTAGTAAAATAATAAGTTTGGGAATTGTTGTTACTTTAGGAGCTATGGATGAATAAATTATTACTTTGCAGTTAATTGGCATCAAACGATTAGGGTTTTCCAAATATTGATTGGATGCCTCAGGATTAAAATTAATTGGGTTATTCCAGTTAAATTCTTCACAGTGCAAATTTGCTAAGAAAATTCGAAATATTTCAAGAAATCCAAATTTGGATCGAACGCCTTAAAAGCATTCAAAACTAAAGAATAACGTAGAATCTTAGCACTTAATGAAGGTCATAGTTGTAACTATTTACTTTAACATAATTCTTGAAAAAATAACATCAGAGACTCATAAAAGCCTCGAATCAAAGAGTCTTCTAATCTAAATCTGAAAAATAAATTTAATAGGCATGAATTACTCAGGTAAGAAAAGCTCATTAAACATATTAAACTTCTTATTATTTATGATTTATTGTGTAAATTATGCTATTATTATGAGAAAAAAGTTCAGCCTACATAAAAGAACTATAAGGTAGACATAAAAAAATCTCATTATCGAGAAATGATTAATTTAAGAAAATGCTTAATTTTCCCATCCAATATCGATCATTGTGAATAATTCAAGAGCTTTTTTTCCCTCCTTACATCTTCATTCAGTATTTACAAAACCATTCTATTAATGAAAGGTCTTAAAAATTTCATATCTCATTTTCTTCTCCTACTTCCTTTCTATAAATTGCTTTAATTTCTAATTTAAAGATAGAAACAGTTCATTAACTCATGAAGATATCTTTTATGATTCTCATCCTTCCTAATCTTAATTTAAATCTTCTTGTTTACTATAGAAAAAATAGGATTTGAATTAATTTGTATTTAAATTGAATTTTTCCTAATTAATCCATGAACAGATTTGTTTAATTTCTTCTTTTCTTGAGATTTTGTGTTTTTGAAATGGGAACTTCCTGTTGTTGTTTGAATTAGTTTTGATATGTTACTAGTGAAATGAGTGTTCTTAAATTTCTGATGAGTTGTCATCAGAACTATTTATGGAACGAGGTATTTATATTATTTTTAAACATAATAAGTTGTCTTAAGTTCTTCAATTAAAAATGAATTGATTATATACAATTATTGTATGCATGAGAGTTCCCAAACTACACGGGAATTGCCTTAAAGACTTTCAATTGAATTGCAATTTTTCGCCCAATTTACTGCAGTACCTAACAATTAATTACATTGTGCAGATGAACAAAAATCCTTCAATTGTTTAAGGCATTACAATTAAATTGTTTAGTGCTCTTTCATAATTATTTCGCTAAAATACTTCCATTTATTTTGACGATTTTCATGCACGAATAATTTAGAATATTTTTTTGAATGGTAAAATAAAACAATACAAGTTGGGAATGTCTTTGAAGACGAGTTGAGGTTTAAAATGAGGTTTTTTATTTATGAATACTTGCGAAGGCTGATCCCTACATGAGCACAGACTTAAATCAGCATCAATTTAGTGTCACCAAAGAGTTCTCAACCAATTTAAATGTTATCGCAATACAGTAGTATATCGCTGAGCATAGTTTAGACACTGTAGCTATAGAAAGCAATAGAGAATTATGTAAAATTTACTAAATTCGATTATTCTGACTTTGCAACCATAAAACTATATTTTCAAGGCAGCACAGCCATACAAACCTACAGCAATTTAATATTCAAACCAAAAATTAAGGAACTCAATAAAAAATCATAAATTTATCAGAACTGCTCAATTTTGCAATATCAAAAAGTACACAACAATTTTATTGTGAAATATTAATGAACGAGCATCACAATTGTCTCTTTCATACGATTCAATTGGCAATTGAAAATATATTTTCTGATGAACAATTGATTGATCGATCATTATTGTTGTATTATCCATGAAGAATATAGTATTGATGTTCAATATTTCAACTGGAGCTTATTTTTAAAAAATTCATCAGCACATATATCGGCACATAATGAAGCGTGTTAATAGGTCGTGAATTATTGAATATATGGGCGTGTGCGATGAGATTAGTTGATATTATCTTTTAGTTTTTATGTCCTGGAATATTTCTAACGAGATAAAAGTTTCCAATGACTCATTTAGAATTTTTTTGTTGATGTCATTTCCTAAGTAAATGACAATAGGGTTTTAAACAGTTGAGATTGTTTTTAACATGAAAATTAATTACTATTTGTCATCATGGATTTTCATTATTTACATGGAAATGAATTTGACAAGAGTTCATGTAATATTCAGAAAATGTAAATTTTGGTGAAATATTGATTTTTTTGGAAACAAAGGAAGTAAATTTGACAAAATGTTGATATTGAGAACGAGTCTTGTTATATTGATGGACATAATTTATTTCATTTAATCTGAAGCTAGTCAGACAGCTCCCAAATTATGGTTCTAGTACGTATAATTCATCTAATCAGCAACAAATCACGAACAATCTTTGTCTCATCGCTCCAATATTTGAAAACTTTAAACTTAACTTTATTCAGCTTTTAAAGTTGCGTTTTATTAGATTATATTTGAAACATATACAAGATACTGTATAAAATTTTCTCAACTTACTCAAATAGCATTAATCATGACATATGTAAGTAATTTTTGAGCACATCTAAAGTACCAAAAATATAAAAAGTATCTTCAAAAAGTTTCTTTTGAATTTATTTAATCTCATTTCTGTCCCTGCATTTTTGAGCATCTGCAGCATTACAAAAGATAAGGTATGATGCATGAAAAGTAGAAAAAACTTTTTTGAATTCAAAATTCTATATTTTAAGCTGCATGCTCCCACAAAATTTGATGAAAATGAGTGATAAAAGAACCCATCAACAAAAGCCATCCTTCGTTCATTCAGCAACCACAAAATTATTCTTTTTCTTCTTCAAAATTCCTCAACATTGACTTTATAGATGAAACGAGCATTCATTGAGCCAAAACCGAATGTTGTATAGGAAGTATGAATGGAATCTTTACATCCTTTTCCGAAATAAAATTTCTTCCGAAAATTTTTGTTTGATTGAAAATTTCAAAAATGTGAATGGATGATTGAAAGCTTCTTAAACTCTACCAGGAAATTGGATTTTAGTTTGTTTCATTGAACACTTTAATGGGGTCTATTGAAACATGTCTAGCTAATTGTAGGTCGTGAAATTCTTTTTTTCCTTCCGAGGTTTGAATGGATGTCTGGTTTGATGGATATGAATTGAATTTGATAGAATGGAACTGTTAAAAATGTCACATTGATGATTTCTGGTGCGAGATTGAATTTGTGATATTCTGTATTTATAAATCCAAGGTTAGTGACTATTGTTTTTGGTAAAATTGATCTAAAGTATTGTTAAATTAGAATTAAGTGTCGTACTAGAACAAAAAAATCATAACTTTTACTATCTTAGTTATTTAAATTTCAGAAAATGGTTAAGTTTAAAGTTTCAAATCAGAATATTTGGTTGATTAGGTTTTACGCTTAAAACCTAGTTCATACTTCAAAGTAAAGCTTAAGGTCAGTTTATACAGTAATTTGAACTTAGTTTAAAGTTTAAATTAGTTGTAAGAAACGAATTCGATTCGAGATGATTCCAAATGACTCAGATTTAGAGTTCTAAGAATCAAACTATGTTCTATCTATTCTTATCTATTGGCTATGACTTTAAGCTCAACCAATTAAAAAATAAATCAGTTAAATCAATGAAATTCAAATTGTTCAAACTTTAAAATTTCCATTTCAAACCTTCAAAACTACTTACAAAATTCATTTAAGCAATTCTCATTCACTTATTCCCAACCATCCGATTCATAATTTTAAAAAAAAATTTACGGGATGCCAGAATATCGTGATCTTATTCAAGGTTTTTAATTACTCTACTGAATTATATGGAAATCATAGCTATTAAAAGCGAAACGCCAAGGTAATAAATAATTCCAAAATTAAAACACTATAAATTCTTGTCTATTTTCAAACATCTTCGTCAAAATTAAACACAGATCCACAGTACGCTATTAACGAAAGTATTAAAACAGAGAAGAACTGATCAATAAAAAATCGAAAACTCATAAATTTTAATTATTGTCTTAAATTAGCTCATGAAAATTATAATCAATCAATTGCTTATGAAAATGAGCATTGAAAGATGCCATAAACCTTCAAGAGATGAAAGCGCCTGATCAATAAAACAGAATTGTAATTGATTTTTTTTATCTTAAAACAAAACATAAAAGTTTTTCGATTCTTTTTCTTATTCGAAGATTTTTTTTCTTTGTTTTGACTTTTCAGACAAAATATTTTATTTTTTTCAAACAATCTAAAATTGTGTACAGCAATAACATCTACATGTTATGCTGTCCTAAAAGTTTTGCAAGCAAAAAGATATGGGGATATAAATTTCACTGAAAGATGCCATACAACAATAACGTGAGAAGGAACAGAAGCACCAACAAAAAAATAAAATTATTGTCTATAAAACTTTTCCGACAGACTTTTGCCATGTTATGCCATATTATTGCAAACATTTGACCGTAAATGAATTAAAATAATATAATAATAATAATAATAGTTTATTACCAGAGG